CTTTGTCCTCTCCGCAAGGGGAGCCGCCGGACAGATTAGAGTCAAGGAGAATAGGAAATAGCAGTACACTTTAGATAGAAAAAGTGTGCAGAGGACTAGCACTATTTTTAGCTTAGTTTTTAGTTTTGACTTTTCCTCTTTTCATCTTATTATGCTGTTGCTTCCATCGGATGTGAAGGCAAAAGAAAAGCAATTGGGCATTCTTTGTAATCTTGACTTTTCCTTCGTTGCCGAAGTGAATTGAATTTTCCCAATTTCGGAGTTGATGGCCGCTATTGTTGCTTCGATTTCCTATGGGTTTTTCGCATCAGGGATGAATTAAATTTTCTTTTCTAGTCAAGGAACAACGGAGGTTTTGGGTCGCCTAAAATTGTGAGATCGATTTAATTTTATCTTTTTCTTTTATTTATTAGTATTCGCATATTCCTTATTTGCAGTGCTTGTGATTATTTAATTAATTGATTGTCTTGGATCCAGATAATTAGTTGATTGGATAATCAATTGTCAATTAGGGTATTAAATCTGTAATTGTTTAATTACTCTAAAATAGTGACAACTGGCATGATTAGGTTTGTGTCAGGGGAATACGCGGGCTAATCTAAAATAACCCTGGTAGTGCGTTATTTGGTTAGAATATGGCTCTTCTAATACGTAAGGCAATTGGGGAATTAAATTCTACGGGCGTACCTAAGATTATTTCTCAATTAGAGCAGTGATTAACGGGCGTACCGTGATCACCGACACAGTAAGGAGGGGTTGACTGCCATTGCTTGTTTGGTAGTTATAACCTATTTATTGATAAATAATTGGAATTGCCTTTGCTTCAATGATCAATTAGGTGCACCATTGCTGAAGTTATTTCTTGACTAGAACCTTAGTTATCATTCATTTGGTTTTAGTAACTTGTTATTTAATTTTTAATAGTTTCTTAGATTTTATTTGCATTTATTTGATTGTCACTTTCCACACAAAAATACCCACTGGTTACTGTGGATTCGAAAAGAAACAATTACACCCAATCCCTGTGAATTCGACCCTACTTACCACTATCTACAGAAATTAACTTTAGTTGAGCAGGTTTTTATTATTGCACAGGCTGACAACCTGTCAATTTGATTGCACCGTATCGCCCCCTCCGCTCTGAAATTGCATTTAATAGTGGAAAATTTTCGCTTCCATTTTATTCTTAGAATTCCGTTGCAGTGTTTTCCTGCAGCTAAGTCCTTTAGTCATTTCCATAAAAAAATAATACCACTAACCAGTCTGTACTTCATTAAGGATATAAATAAGTCTAATCAAGTTGAACACCCTAATATTTAAATTTATTTAATTATTTTAATGAGTTTAAATATTTGTTCAAGTTTGATTATTTATCGAACCGAGATTGAATGGCGAGTTTGAATGTTATTCAAATTTAGTTTGATTAGTTGACAAACTAAATTTGACAAATAGTAGGAATGGCTAGTATATTTTCTGTTACTAAAGAAAATTCTTGTTATTTATATATTAACGGACACTTCCTCAAAAGAATGAAAGATTTCGTACTACTTGCAGATGCTGCAATTGATGCCTTTACAAAATTGTTTTGGCATCAATTTTCCATGCGCACTAAATCTACGATAAACCAAAGGAAACAAGACATTATAAAAAACCAAAGAATTTGACAAACGAGTAGTGGAATTATGATCATAAAACTAAGCATTCAAAGACTACGAGAGTGATGGAAGGTGACTAAAAGCTAATGCACGTAGTGAGAACCCATGAGACATTTTGAGAAATTTAAGCTGCTCCAGTACATACTGTCCTGAAAGAAGGAAAAAGAAATCACGAAAGCCTTTGAAATTTTGTTGTTATCCCGTTTAACTTCCAAATGTTAAACTTGATCAATTTTTATTAATCTTTACACTTTGGGAGTTTTTCCTAATTGGCCCTTGGATCCCACTATGATATTCACCAAGGTTAAGAAAGCATGCCTTGAATTGCAATGAATCTGCGAACTACTTAAGATGCATTAGGTGTTTAATTTAATTTTATTCTTGTGCTTATCATTTCCCAATGCTGCAGAGAAACTGAAAGGACTATAATATGCAAAGCCAAGTTGACTCGCTGCTATGTATACAAAAGAGACTTGCTGTCCTGTTAACTGATTATTATATATATACAACATTATTTCGAAAACCAGTTTTTGCTTCAACTTCTATTAGTTCTAGTCTCAAGAAATCGACGAACGAGAATAATATGATTTTTAGCAACCCAATAATGATAATAACATAACAAATAAATCAAACAAAGAGAAACAGAATTTTACGTGATTCGGTCAAATTGACCTACGTCCATGGACGAAGGGGAAGCAAATTTACTATAACAGAAAAAGAATACAAAACCTAGGAAAAAATTCCTAAGGTCAAAAAACACCTAAAACTGAAAATACAAAAGATGTTAAATAGCACTAAATGTTTAATGGTCCAAAGACCCATGACTTGTTCTTTTGGTTTGATGCCTAACCAAACTCCTCTCAAATATACTATAACTATTTGATGTAAAAGAGGTAAAAAAAAAAAAGTGATTAAGAATGTATTCACGGAAAATATAAAAATTGCTTTCCAAACAAAGCTGAATTTGAAGGTGACAAAGAACTTTTTCCTAGAAATGTTTCAATCATGTGTACTACTTTTAGGTTTTTCGTTTTTGTTAAAAATTATGCACCTTTCAAAATTAGATGGAGGCCTTTTGCTGGCATCCTGTTCAACTTCAAAATGTTAAAACTCATCATTTCGTATCATCCTGGAACCTTGGATTTAGTTTTGACTGGTCCTTAGATCCTACTAAAATTCCCACCACGGCTAAGAGAAGATGCATTTTCTTTTTTAATTTCCTTTTTGTAAGTGGGAGGTCTTGAATTCAGGATTCTCTTTTTATAATTCCTTTCACCTTACCACTAAACCCAACACTTTTCCATAAAAGAAGATGCCGTGAATTGTAATGAATCTGGAAATTCCAACACCCGTTTCATTATGAGATTTTGCTGGCAAATTAATTTGTATTAAAAAATTTTCAAAACTTCCAAATCAACGTTAGGATAATTAAAATTATTTTGAAGAGTTGGACTTCATATATTTATAATATTTGAATCAACATGAAAGTTTATAAAAAATTTTGCACGAACATAAGGTTTAATTTGTAAGTAAAGTGTTTAAAATCTTTCCAAATTTGAAAGGGAAAAAACAAAAATTTGAAGACTTTGGTGTGGTGGTTCCTATTCCCTACCTTTCTTTGCTTCTCGAAGTGCTAACTATTTCTTTTGTTATGAATCTTGAACTATACAAGCAACCTTTTGCGAATGTGTTTGTAAAATAACATGGTTACCTAGTTAGACAAATTCTCTGCATAGAAGTAGTATTTGTGAACACAAAGTTAGTAGCTGCAAGTACCGTAAGACAACAACATAACATGAAAAACTGTACCAAGCCAAAAAAGAAGAAGAGAGGTTTACTTTAACATCATTTATCTAAAATTAGTAGCTATCTTTTGCCTTTAGTTTTGTCAACAAAAAACGAGAGGATCCCTGGAGTTTTTCCTGCTGTCAGATTCAGAATTTGAATCTCATGTCTGATAGTTGGAGGTGGGAAGAGTGTAAATGAATGTTTTCCTAAACATATTAGTCTAAACATATTTTTGCCTCTATTTGAGAAGTATAAATTGAAATGAGTGTGCTTTTTTTAGGAGGTATATAGAGACAATCTTTATTGCCCCAGAAAGAAAAAAAAAACAGTAAAATACTAGGAAATTGAAGATTAGTCCAAACTAGTGGAAGATTTTACTTAAGTAAATTCACTAAGTCATAATTTGAACTGTTCTATTTGTATAATTTCCACATACATCTCTCATCTTTTGATTGCAAATTAACGAGTCATGTCGATTGCTTGATAGTATTGATAGTGCTTATTTTCTTGTTTCTTGATTTCTGAACCTCTCCAGCATTATTTTTGCAAACGTGGGGTTGAGCCATCCTTAATTTTCTACGGTTTCCTGCACAATTGAGTTGATTGTCTGTCTAAAGTGGTTGATTAGTACAAAGTCATTGTTCAGAACAGTTGAGGGGCAATCAATTTTGTCTCTTGTATAATGACCAAGACTTATAACGTATTATGTGGTCAAATAATTAAGTTGCATTATTCCCAAGAATGCGCATCATCAAACTGTGCAGTTTTGTCATGAAATAGGTTTTGGGTTTGAGTTTAATTTTACAATTTAATATCTAGTTATTAAACTTTGTTTATTTGAAACAGAATTTCCATGCCTGTTCGTCTCTGTAAAATATTACTTGAATAAAAATGGTCATTGTACACAAACTATATATATATACATACATACAAAATTGGTTTTAGAATTTATTAAGCTACAGATTTGATCAATATGCTAAATCAATATCAAAACCCTATTTAAGTTAGAATTTTGAGATGATAACAAGATTTGGAATTAATACAAAGTGGGGTAAAAAAAAGAATAAACAAAAATTTAAGGGATTAAATAATGCATTTCCTATTTTTGCTTTCTCCTTCATACATTTGAAGCCCCTTAGATTAGCCATGCATCACTTCCCTCTCTTTCGGGCTATGGCAACTCAAGGGCCCTCAAATTACATCAATCATAAAATAGAAGGTCCAACTTTACGATTAGACTTCGACATGAGAAATCAATATTATGTGAATGCAGAAGAAAAATATTTAATAAGCTTATGTATATTAAAAACTCAGAGAAAATTTATCTCAAACCTTCGGAAGAATTATAGCTTTTATGAAACTAAATTCTACTCTTTACATAAAGCAAATGGTGACATGGATATATAGTCATAACTTGACTGTACAATTCCCTAGAAGAGCAGTCAAAGAAATTCTAATCAGCATGACAATTACATCACTGTCAAAAAATTACCAAACCCATATTACTGAGACTATATATGATGCGACTCCTCACCCATCAGGTAGCAAACATTAGCCATGGAGAAACTTCACAACCTCTCCCCTTTTGGATTTGTGTTGCTGTGTTTTCTTTCAGCTTCCTTAGCCATGCTCCCGACCAATATTACCACTGATCAGTCATCTCTTCTTGCCTTGAGATCTCACATCTCATTTGACCCTCACCAAATCTTGGCAAACAACTGGTCTGTCAGATCTTCTGTTTGTGAATGGATTGGAGTGACCTGCGGCTTTCGGCATCTCAGAGTGACCGGCTTAAGTATTTCAAACATGAATCTTTCCGGCACCTTACCTCCACAATTGGGGAACCTATCATTTCTTGTTTCGCTTGACATGAGAAACAACAATTTCCACGGAGAGATGCCGCATGAAATTGCTCGTTTGCGCCGATTAAAAGTACTTAATTTGGGCATCAACAATCTCAAAGGAGAGTTACCCTGGTGGATTGGTTCATTTCCTAAACTTCGTCACTTGAATCTTGGAAACAATAGTTTCACTGGTCGTATCCCATCTTCCATCTCTAACTTATCAAAGCTAGAGACTATATATCTTTCGTTCAACGCTCTGCAAGGAAACATTCCCACGGGGATTTTCAATATTTCCTCGCTGCAAATCATTCACCTTATGGATAATGGCCTATCCGGAGTTCTTCCAAGTGACATGTGTTACCGTCTTCCGGGACTGAGTATCCTTGACCTATCAATGAACAAGTTAAATGGTCAATTACCATCAAGTGCTTTAGCCCAGTGTTCAGAACTTCAGGTGCTGTCTTTGTCTCTCAATGAATTTGGAGGTTCCGTACCAAAAGAAATTGGAGAACTGAAGAAGCTTGAGGAGCTATACTTGGGTATCAACTATTTAGAAGGTAGGATCCTTGCTAATTCTTTTACCATACGTGGACAAAGCCAAATTAAATGAATTGTTTTATGTTGTAGTGAATTTGTGAAGATCTAGATCCAGAAGTTGGTTTGTTCTAACAAAAATAGCACATATCTCGCACAATATTTAGAGTGTGTTTGATAAAGATAAATCTGAAATTTGAAATTTGAAATTTGAATCCACTAAGTTACTAAATGGTAAGTATCATGATACAACTCATTACCAATTGGGGTTGGGCCAAGTGGTAAGCAGCTTGGTTCCGCTTAAGCAGGTCTCGGGTTCGAAACCTGGCGTATGCAGCTATCCTTGTTGGGAGACTCACCCACCACAGCCAGGTGTGCGACCCGGGTCGACCAACGGATTAGTCAGGGCAAAGCCCTGGATACCGTGGCAGGCAACCAAAAAAAAAAAAAAAATGATACAACTCATTATCTAAATCTGAATGCTGAATACAGTATGCCTATTAGATAATTGTAAACAACTTAATACCGAATTTCATATATTTCATAATTTTGTTATTATGTTGATTTATTCATTAATGATGATGTTAAAATGTTATACTTTATTTATAATATGTATAATTTAATTTCATTGAAAATAAGATATTAAAAATAGCAAAAAATGAACCACATATTAAAATAAAATTATAATATAAAAAATGTGTTTAGGAAAATAAATTTATTTGAGAAAAAACAAACTTTAGCACAATTTTCAATAGTTTATTTTTGCTCATATGTCAATGTCTGTAGATATGTAACAAAGTAATAAATTTTGCATTTACATTAAATGGTAAGTGAACAGCTTCTCGCTTATTTTTTAAATATGTTTTATTTAGAGAATTTAGAGGCACTTAATTAATTAAAATGTTCTATTTTTTGACATCACACACCTATGGATATGTTAAGGCCTGAACCCATGAAATTTAAGTACTTAATTGTATTCTCAAATTAAACCTTACTCTTATCTTTCCATATTCCCAATTGAAAAGGCAAAAAATACAAGAAAAATTTAGAGTTATAGATTGTTTCCGCCGAATGAATTTTCAGAATACTGCCTCGAGGAAAGAATTGTTACCAAAGATTTTCAGATTTTTCTACTTCTTTACAGCTAGGAAAACCATGAATACATGGAGCAGTTAATATGGTCCTGATGGACAAGTTAATGGCCAAAACATATTCCTATTTTCTTAGGATACTATAGAATAGTGAAAAAGATTTTGAAAAATTTAGTTAACTTTACATGCATTTACTTTAAGATGTCTTTTTAATTTGATTTCGAAACAAGTCAATTTCAAAATGTCGAGGGTGCCAGGCTGTGGCCAATTTTTCACTTTTGGCCTATCAATTTTCTCGGTTAATTCAAAACGTCCATCAAAGATCTCAACTTGTTGATTTTTATTGCATCCACATTTTGTAGGTGAAATTCCAAAAGAAATTGGTAACTCAACTATGATGAAAACACTAGATTTCAGATCAAACAACTTAGCAGGTATGACAATTTATTTTACAAAACTTACAGAATATAGAGACTTATATATTTTAATTTATATGCTCAATATTATTTTGGCAGGTGTAATACCACGAGAGATTGGTAACTTGTACATTCTCCAACACGTCAACATCGAATTCAATAACTTAACTGGTTCCATACCAATAGAGATCTTCAACCTCTCAAAGTTGATTATTATGTCACTTACACAAAATCAACTTTCAGGCAATCTTCCATCCACATTCGGTTATAGGCTTCCCAATCTAGAAGAGCTTTACCTCAGCATTAATTCCTTCTCTGGAGTATTACCTACCTCAATCTCAAATTCTTCTAAACTTCGTAGAGTAGATTTTGGTACTAACAAGTTCACAGGTCCAATTCCTACTTCCCTGGGGGACCTAAGTCTCTTGGAACTACTGAATCTATTCGACAACAATTTAACGAGCGACTCCTCATCTCAAGAGTTGAGCTTCATCACTTCATTGACAAAATGCCAATATTTGTCAATATTGGTCTTGAGTGACAATCCATTCAATGGGATCATTCCAGACTCGGTTAGTAATCTTTCAACTTCCCTTCAAATGTTATCTGCATCAGATTGTAAAATCAAGGGCAGCATTCCTGATGGAATTGGAAACTTTAGTAGTTTGATCCAGTTAGATCTATCCAACAATGAGCTAAATGGGTCGTTGCCAGCTAGGATAAAAGATTTACGAAAGCTTCAAGGAATGGATCTTAGTGTGAACAAACTAAGCAACGTGCCCCTAGAGTTTCTTTGTGCTCTCTATGACTTGGCTACAATAGATCTTGGACAAAATCAAATTATGGGCTCAATACCAAAGTGCATGGGAAATTTAACTTCCCTGAGGAATCTTAACCTAAGTCACAATAGACTAAATTCTTCCCCACCTGTAGAAATATGGAACCTGAAAGATCTCTTAGAGCTTGACCTCTCCTCAAACTTGTTGAGTGGATCTCTGCCACAAGCAATTACGAATATGAAGATGGCAAATTGGGTAGATTTGTCAACCAATCAGTTCTCGGGTGCCATTCCTGATACAATTGGAGAGATCCAAAACCTGCAAAATCTCTCTCTAGCACACAACAGATTGCAAGGATCAATCCCAGAGTCAATGGGCAAGATGTTAAGCTTGGAGTCATTGGATCTATCGCATAACTTTCTCTTTGGATCGGTTCCAATGTCAATGGAGAACCTTCGGTATCTTAGACATTTCAATGTCTCTTTTAACAATTTAATTGGTGAAGTTCCTTCCAGAGGGCCTTTTATCAACTTCACTGCCGAATCCTTCATTGCAAATCAAGCACTGTGTGGAGCTCAAAGGTTTCATGTGCCTCCATGCCCAAATATTTCAGCTCATAGATCGAGAACAAAAAAAGTGCGTCAAACGATTTATATTCTTCTGGGGATGATAATAGCAATGGGAGTCTTGTCCTTTGGACTTTTTTACCTAAGGTATGGAAAGAAAGATGGACTTTCCAGTGGTGCAAATTTATCCTTAATTGCAATGCCAGAAAGAATTTCATATTTCGAACTTCTAAAAGCAACTAATGGGTGAAAAATTTTCTAATACGACTAAAGTACTATTTCCTCAATTATTTGCTTTTGAAAATGCCAAATATTAAAAATTACAACCAATTTAAGAACATAGATGAATTTTATATATTTCTTGCAGAGTATGGATTGGAAGGATTAGTATCAACAAAATGTGATACCTACAGTTTTGGAATTATGATGATGGAAGTCTTCACAAGAACAAAACCTAATAGTGAAATGTTTGGCGAAAACTTGAGCTTGAAGAGTTGGATAACTAATTCAATACCTGATGGATTAGCTCATGTAATCGATGCTAATTTGCTGAAGGAAAATGATGAATACTTTGTTGAAAACCGAAGTTGTATAGCCTCAATCATGAAAGTGGCTCTGGACTGCACGATGGAATCTCCAAGAGAGAGAAGCAACATACAAGATGTTCTTGTTGCGCTCAAAAAGATCAAGCTTCAGTACATAAGTGCCCTCCATTCAAGGACGACTTAAAGGTGCACGTTCTCTTTGAGATTTGTAGTTTTCCCAACTCTCCTGGCTTCTACTTAGTTGTCTGGTTGGGTAATAATCTTGTATTGGCCACGGGGCTTGGAGAAATCTCAGCTAGCTGAGGTCAAGTAGAAATGGAATTATATCACTCATTATGCTTCATGAGTGGTTACGGGGCTGTAATCCTTTTCGTAGTCTTTCTTGAATTCATGTACTGCATGATAAAATTAATCAAAACATTTCCTTTCTCTTATTAGCGCTTAAATATCGACCTTCTTAATCTTAAATATGCAGTTGCAGAATAAAATGTAAAAGGAGATTCCTTTTCTATTTCAAGTTAATTAAGGAGTAATCTTTTACGAGAGTTGAACGAGAGTTTGGATGTTATTCAAATTTAGTTTGATTAGATGGCGAACTAAATTTAACTAATATTAGGAATGGCTAGTATATTATTTGTTACTAAAGAAAATTCTTGTTATTTATATATTAACGGACACTTCCTCAAAAGAATGAAAGATTTCGTACTACTTGCAGATACTGCAATTGATGCCTTTAAAAAATTGTTATGACATCAATTTTCCATGGCACACAAAATCTACGATAAACCAAAGGAAACGAGACATTATAAAAAACCCAAGAATTTGACAAACGAGTAGTGGAATTATGATCATAAAACTAAGCATTCAAAGACAACGAGAGTGATGGAAGGTGACTAAAAGCTAATGCACGTAGTGAGAAACCATGAGACATTTTCAATCTCTAATCAAGGCTTAGCTATTAATAATACCCATGAGACATTTTGAGAAATTTAAGCTGTTCCAGTACATACTATCCTGAAAGAAGGAAAAAGAAATCACGAAAGCCTTTGAAATTTTGTTGTTATCCCGTTTAACTTCCAAATGTTAAACTTGATCAATTTTTATTAATCTTTACTCTTTGGGAGTTATTGCTAATTGGCCCTTGGATCCCACTATGATATTCACCAAGGTTAAGAAAGCATGCCTTGAATTGCAATGAATCTGCGAACTACTTAAGATGCATTAGGTGTTTAATTTAATTTTATTCTTGTGCTTATCATTTCCCAATGCTGCAGAGAAATTAAAAGTACTATAATAAGCAAAGCCAAGTTGACTCGCTGCTATGTATACAAAGGAGACTTACTGTCCTGTTAACTGATTATTATATGTATATATATACGTATATATATATATATATATATATAAAGCATACCTGTTGGTACTGTTGTGCTCGAATGAAAAAATCTATAGCATTATTCTGAACCTAAATGAATTTCTTTTTGGACAATTTGCACCTTGATGTTCTAGATGCCCACCAATTTAGTCTTATTGATAAACCTGTTAAGTGGATGGAAAATGCTGATGCATCTTCAGTCTGAATTTACTCAATCCAAGAAACTAGCAAAGCATTGCTCAACAACATTATTTTGAAAACTCAGTTTTCGCATCAACTTCTGTTAGTTTTGGTCCCAGGAAATCGACCAACGAGAATAATAGGATTTTTAGCAACTCAATAATGACAATAACATAATAAATAAATCAAGAAAAGAGGAAACAGAATTTTGGTCCCGGGACCATATCACCCTCCTGGTTCTCCTCCACGGTCACTCCCGCCTTTTTCGAGACTACCTGGACAGGACTCACCCATGGGCTATCCGAGATAGCAAAAATGATCCCCACCTCTAGAAGCTTGAGTATCTCCTTTTTCACAACTTCCATCATCAGGGGGTTCAACCTCCTTTGAGCCTGTCTTACTGGCTTCGTATCTTCCTCGAGCCGAATTCGGTGCATACATAAGGATGGACTTATTCCCTTGATATCTGCTATACTCCACCCAATTGCCTCCTTATGCTTCCTCAGGACCCGCACTAGTTTGTCTTCTTGACTTGGAGACAGGTGCGCCGAGATGATTACCGGCAGTGTCTCCCGGTCTCCTAGGAATGCGTACTTAAGATGCTTTGGCAGAGGCTTTAATTCTAAATCCGGTGCCTGCACAATTGAAGGAAGCAGATTTGTCTGAGCCTCTGGCACAAAAAGAGAGGCAAGTTCATACCTTGGGGATACAGGTGGAAGTGAGTGTAAGGCTTCAACAGCATGGAGCAAATCTCCCCTTAGGTCCACATCAGGAGTTACACCCAACTCCAGATGCTTGATTAGAGCCACTTCCAATGCGTCTTTGCCATCTAATTCAAAAGTTTCCTGCACAAAAGGCTCAATAGCGCTCACAGCAAAAACCGAGTTAGATTCCTCTGGATACTTCATCGCATCAAAAATATTAAAATTCACAGTTTCACCATCAAACTCCATTGACAAAGTACCCTCATTCACATCTATCTTAGTTCTAGCAGTGCTAAGAAATGGTCTACCTAACAAGATAGGTGAAGGATTCAGTGATTTTTCATCTCCCATGTCCAAGATATAAAAATCTGCAGGAAAGACCAATTCATTTACCTGAACCAAAACATCCTCAACTAGCCCCTCTGGATATGCATTTGTGCGATCAGCTAGTTGGATTATGATGGCTGTTTCTTTAAGTGGCCCAAGATTTAGAGAAGAAAAAATGGTATTTGGCATCACATTGATTGACGCCCCTAAATCTAGCATTGCTTTCCTGATTGGTGTATTCCCTATCTTACAGGGGATCGTGAACATACCTGGATCTCCACACTTTGGTGGAAGCTTTCTTTGGAGCATTGCTGACACATTCTCTCCCACCGCTATTCTTTCGTCCCCTCTCAGTTTCCTCTTATGGGTGCACAGATCCTTGAGAAATTTAGCATATTTCGGTATCTGCTTGATTGCATCCAGTAAAGGGATGTTAATCTCCACTTTTCGGAACACATCTAAAAGCTCTTTTTCCTTCTCTACCTTCTTTGTCTTCTCCAGCCTGCAAGGAAAAGGAGGTAAGTTAGATTTAATAGTGGGCGAAGGAGTGAAGGTTACCTTAGGATCCTTGCGAACACGCCCTTCCTCTTCAATTTCCTTCTCTATCTCCTCTTCACCCTTGCTTTTTGGATTCCCCTCTTTAGGCCCTTCCAGTGTCTTACCACTCCTCAGTGTCATGGCACTTACATTCCTGGGATTTACTTCCGGTTGTGAGGGTAACTTTCCATAAGAGTGGGACTCCAAGCGATTGATAGCAGTTGCCAGTTGGCTTATTCGAGCCTCCATATCCTTCATGCCTGCTTTTGTGTCCTGCTGGAACTGAGTGGTGCTCATGGCTAAGGTTCTAGTCTCTTGCTGGAGCTGGGCGGTTGTCGTAGCCAGGTTGGTAGTAGTCGTGGCCAGGTTTTTGACTAGGTCCTCCAGAGAACTTCCTGAGTTGGAGGACGAGGGTTGCGATTTTGGTTGCCATGGCTGGTGGAATCCTGGTGGACGATTTGGAAATGCATTTTGTTGCCTGTTCCCATAACTGAGATTGGGATGGTCCCTCCAGCCCGGATTGTATGTATTAGAGTATGGGTCGTACTGCCTGCGGGGCGCGGGCACGCCTCCGGCCATGTTTACCTGTTCCGCCCCGTCCTCTTGCAAAATGGGGCACGAGTCTGTGCAATGGTCCATGCTAGTGCATATTCCACACACCTTCGCTCGTGGCGCGTCTCTCATGGCTAATTGCCTAACAACTGACATCAATTCTGACATTTGCTGCTGTAAGGATGAAATCTCTACCTCGTTGACTCTACGGGGTGGGTTGCTCTCACGGAAACCAAATTGCTGGGAGTTCTCTGCCATGGCTTCGATGAGCTCCCACGCTTCCCGTGGTGTCTTGTTTGCAAGTGCTCCCCCACTCGCAGCATCAATGATACTCCTATCTGTTGATTGGAGCCCTTCGTAGAAGTATTGGATTAACAGTTGCTCACTAATTTGATGTTGCGGGCATCTAGTGCACAACTTGTTAAACCTTTCCCAGTATTCGTACAAGGACTCACCGGGGTATTGTTTAATGCCGCAGATCTCCTTCCTCAAACTCGCAGCCCGGGATGCAGGGAAGAATTTTTCCAAGAATTTCTTTTTCAGCTGCGCCCATGTGGTAATACTACCTGCTGGTAGGTAGTACAGCCAATCTTTTGCTGCATCCTTGAGAGAGAAGGGGAAAGCTCTAAGTCTTATCTGCTCCTCAGTCACCCCAGGAGGTTTCATACTAGAGCAAACTACCTCGAACTCCTTGACGTGCTTGTGGGGTTCTTCGCCAGAGAGGCCATGGAAAGAAGGTAGGAGGTGAATCAGCCCCGACTTCAGTTCGAAAGCAGTATTCTCAGCCAGAGTGGGGAATGTGATGCATAAGGGCTGGTGAGTCAGCTCCGGAGCAGCCAGCTCCCTCAATGTTTGGTTGTTGGCCATGCTTACTTCGTCCTCCGCTGACTCGTTTGCAACAAATAAGTGCCCTCCTTTTTGTCTCTTGGTCTCTTGCCGCCGCCTACGCGCTGCCTTCTCAACCTCGGGATCGTATACCAATTCACCTGTGCGAGAAGAACGGGGCATAAACTAGCAAGAATACCAAGAAGAATAGAATAAAATAAAAATAAAATAAAAACTGAATTTGAAAAGAAACAAATAATCCAAATGCCAGCTCCCCGGCAACGGCGCCAAAAATTGACAGGTGCCGAACCTGTGCAATAATAAATACCTACTCGAGAAAAATACAGATTTTTGTATATAGCGGTGAGTAGGGTCGAATCCACAGGGAGCAGGTAGGAAATTATTTCTTTCCAAATCAGTAGAACAGAATTGGAGGATTTTCAATGGGAGGCACACAAATAAAATAAAATAAAACAAACAAAATTCAAAACTAACTCACAAAGTACAATTCACTGAAAATAGCAATTAACAAAAGTTCTACCCAAAGGATCAACTGCTCAGGCACGGTCCAATTAAATGCTCATCGATGCAAAGATATTTCACCCATTTATCACTAGGTTGGTTATAGCCATCAATAAGCTCTGACAACCAGCTCTTCCTTACTTTTTCGACAGTCAAGGTACGACCATTGACTGCTTCTCTAACCAGATAACAACCCTAGGTACGACCGTAGGAATTTAATTACCCAATTGCATTAAAGCCAGAAGAACCCAACCCTAACCAATAAACACGCTAAGAGGGTTTATTTAAATTAGATCTTGCGTTTCCCCATCATAAAACCAATTATGGTGGTTGCCACGGGGTGTTAACTAAATGAACAATTACGGATTCTATTTAATTAACGTGGCAGTAGGCTATTAAATTAAATCAAATACCCGGCCGTTGATATTCAATTAATCAAATACCCATGAACAATTAATTCAGGAAACGCACGAATAGCAATTAATTGGAGGAAATAATGAAGATTCGGTTAGATCTCACAGATATTATGGACCGCGCCTTCGCGTCAACCTTTGGGTAGAGGAGAAAATTAGCCGCTCCTCATCGTGTCAATCCCGCGTGACTTAATTGAATTCATTCAATTAATTGCCGAAGAATTGAAAAAGATGAATTAACGTAGGAACTGCTGAAAAAGCTTCGCTTCCCTTTGTTGGGTTTCGTGTTCGTACCCCTGGAGCGAAAGTAGAAGCAAAAGTCGAATAGGAAAAATTGTACAGAAGCCAAAAGCAAAAGCTACAGCAACGGAGAAAATCCCCAATGTCTGACCCCGAGCCGCAGAAGACAAAAGGAAAAACTAAAAAGCGTCTGACAAGTCCTCCCCCAAAAAGTAGAAAAAGAGAACCTAAGGCTAAAAAAAGTTGTCGTTTGAATCTTGCTTTCCTTTTCTTTATATAGCCGCTGCACATCAGCATTGAAAAAGGAAGAGACGTCTGGAGCAAATCAGCTAATAGAGGCCATCTCCTTTGGAGTTTTGATCCTACGCTTCGGGTTCACGTGGACCACGGTCCGTCTTTCGGTTTCGTCCGCCTTCTAAGGCGTGGCCACGCTCTAAAATGAAAAGTCTTCTGGAAATTCACCCTGCGAGATCATTTTCATGCCGACCACCTACAATTCACACAAATCTCGAATATGAGTGAAATTTCAATTTTTAGCACCGTGAATAACCAAAATTAGGACAAAATAGCAGTGCAAAATACGTCAAATAACCATTCTATCAATCCAGAAGTTGGTTTGTTCTAACAAAAATAGCACATATCTTGCACAATATTTAGAGTGTGTTTGATAAATATAAATCTGAAATTTGAAATTTAAAATTTGAAATATGAATCCATTAAATTACTAAATGTTAAGTATCATGATACAACTTATTATCTAAATCTGAATACTGAATACAGTATGCCTGTTAGATAATTGTAAACAACTTAATACCGAATTTCATATATTTCATAATTTTGTTATTATGTTGATTTATTCATTAATGATGATGTTAAAATGTTATACTTTATTTATAATATGTATAATTTAATTTCATTGAAAATAAGATATTAAAAAATAGCAAAAAATGAACCACATATTAAAATAAAATTATAATATAAAAAATGTGCTTGGGAAAATAAATTTATTTGACAAAAAACAAACTTTAGCACAATTTTCAATAGTTTATTTTTGCTCATATGTCAATGTCTGTAGATATGTAACAAAGTAATAAATTTTGCATTTGCATTAAATGGTAAGTGAATAGCTTCTTGCTTATTTTTTAAATATGTTTTATTTAGAGAATTTAGAGGCACTTAATTAATTAAAATGTTCTATTTTTTGACAACACACACCTATGGATATGTTAAGGCCTGAACCCATGAAATTTAAGTACTTAATTGTATTCTCAAATAAAACCTTACTCTTATCTTTCCATATTCCCAATTGAAAAGGCAAAAAATACAAGAAAAATTTAGAGTTATAGACTGTTTCCGCCAAACGAATTTTCAGAATACTGCCTCGAGGAAAGAATTGTTACCAAAGATTTTCAGAATTTTCTGCTCCTTTACAGCTAGGAAAACCATGAATACATGGAGCAGATAATATGGTCCTGATGGACAAGTTAATGGTCAAAATATATTCGTATTTTCTTAGGATACTATAGAATAGTGAAAAAGATTTTGAAAAATTTAGTTAACTTTACATGCATTTACTTTAAGATGTCTTTTTAATTTGATTTCGAAACAAGTCAATTTCAAAATGTCGACGGTGCCAGACTGTGGCCAATTTTTTGCTTTTGGCCTATCAATTTTCTCGGTTAATTCAAAACGTCCATCAATGATCTCAACTTGTTGATTTTTATTGCATCCACATTTTGTAGGTGAAATTCCAAAAGAAATTGGTAACTCAACTATGATGAAAACACTAGATTTCAGATCAAACAACTTAGCAGGTATGACCATTTATTTTACAAAACTTACAGAATATAGAGACTTATATATTTTAATGTATATGCTCAATTTTATTTTGGCAGGTGCAATACCACGAGAGGTTGGTAACTGCTACTTTCTCCAACACATCAACATGGATTTCAGTAGCTTAACTGGTTCCATACCAATAGAGATCTTCAACCTCTCAAAGTTGATTATTATGTCACTTACACAAAATCAACTTTCAGGCAATCTGCCATCCACATTCGGTTATAGGCTTCCCAATCTAGAAGAGCTTTACCTCGGCATTAATTCCTTCTCTGGAGTATTACCTACCTCAATCTCAAATTCTTCTAAACTTCGTAGAGTAGATTTTGGTACTAACAAGTTCACAGGTCCAATTCCTACTTCCCTGGGTGACCTAAGTCTCCTGGAACTACTGAATCTATTCAGCAACAATTTAACGAGCGACTCCGCATCTCAAGAGTTGAGCTTCATCACTTCATTGACAAAATGCCAATATTTGTCAATATTGGTCTTGAGTGGCAATCCATTCAATGGGATCATTCCGGATTCGGTCAGTAATCTTTCAACTTCCCTTCAATTGTTGTCTGCATCAGATTGTAAAATCAAGGGCAGCATTCCTGATGGAATTGGAAATTTTAGTAGTTTGATCCAGTTAGATCTATCCAACAATGAGCTAAATGGGTCGTTGCCAGCTAGGATAAAAGATTTACGAAAGCTTCAAGGAATGGATCTTAGTGTGAACAAATTAAGCAAAGTGCCCCTAGAGTTTCTTTGTGCTCTCTATGACTTGGCTACAATAGATCTTGGACAAAATCAAATTATGGGCTCAATACCAAAGTGCATGGGAAATTTTACTTCCCTGAGGAATCTTAACCTAAGTCACAATAGACTAAATTCTTCCCCACCTGTAGAAATATGGAACCTGAAAGATCTCTTGGAGCTTGACCTCTCCTCAAATTTGCTGAGTGGATCTCTGCCGCAAGCAATTACGAATATGCATATGGCAAATTTGGTAGATTTGTCAACCAATCAGTTCTCGGGTGCCATTCCTGACACAATTGGAGAGATCCAGAACCTGCAAAATCTCTCTCTAGCACACAACAGATTGCAAGGATCAATCCCAGAGTCGATCGGCAAGATGTTAAGCTTGGAGTCATTGGATCTATCACATAACTTTCTCTCTGGATCGGTTCCAATGTCAATGGAGAACCTTCGGTATCTTAGACATTTCAATGTCTCTTTTAACAATTTAATTGGTGAAGTTCCTTCCAGAGGGCCTTTTATCAACTTCACTGCCGAATCCTTCACTGCAAATCAAGCACTGTGTGGAGCTCAAAGGTTTCATGTGCCTCCATGCCCAAATATTTCAGCTCATAGATCGAGAACAAAAAAAGTGCGTCAAACGATTTATATTCTTCTGGGGATGATAATAGCAATGGGAGTCTTGTCCTTTGGACTTTTTTACCTAAGGTATGGAAAGAAAGATGGACTTTCCAGTGGTGCAAATTTATCCTTAATTGCAATGCCAGAAAGAATTTCATATTTCGAACTTCTAAAAGCAACTAATGGGTACAGCGAAAGCAATTTGTTGGGAACTGGAAGCTTTGGATCTGTTTATAGAGGTACTCTTGATGATGGAAGGGTCGTGGCTGCTAAAGTTTTCAATTTACAAGTCGAAGGAGCATTCAGGAGTTTTGATGTAGAATGTGAAGTACTGCGCAATCTTCGCCACAGAAACCTCACAGGAGTCATCACCAGTTGCTCTAACCCTGAGTTTAAGGCATTAGTGCTTGAGTTCATGCCTAATGGGAGTCTTGAGAAGTGCTTGTATTCGCACAACTATTTTCTGGATCTGATGCAGAGATTAGACATATTGATTGATGTTGCATGTGCATTGCAATATCTCCACTGTGAGTATTCAACTCCAGTAATTCACTGTGATTTGAAACCGAGTAATGTCCTGCTGGATCAAGACATGGTTGCCCATCTAAGTGATTTTGGCCTTACAAAGTTGTTGGGTGAGGATAACAGCATCACATACACCGAAACACTAGCCACACTTGGCTATCTCGCACCAGGTGAAGAATTTTCTAATACGCCTAAAGTACTATTTCCTCAATTATTTGCTGTTGAAAATGCCAAATATTAAAAATTACAACCAATTTAAGAACATAGATGAATTTTATATATTTCTTGCAGAGTATGGATTGGAAGGATTAGTATCAACAAAATGTGATACCTACAGTTTTGGAATTATGATGATGGAAGTCTTCACAAGAACAAAACCTAATAGTGAAATGTTTGGCGAAAACTTGAGCTTGAAGAGTTGGGTAACTAATTCAATACCTGATGGATTAGCTCATGTAATTGATGCTAATTTGCTGAAGGAAAATGATGAATACTTTGTTGAAAAGCTAAGTTGTATAGCCTCAATCATGAAAGTGGCTCTGGACTGCACGATGGAATCTCCAAGAGAGAGAAGCAACATACAAGATGTTCTTGTTGCGCTCAAAAAGATCAAGTTTCAGTACATAAGTGCCCTCCATTCAAGGACGTCTTAAAGGTGCACGTTCTCTCTGAGATTTGTAGTTTTCCCAACTCTCCTGGCTTCTACTTAGTTGTCTGGTTGGGTAATAATCTTGTATTGGCCACGGGGCTTGGAGAAATCTCAGCTAGATGATGTCAAGTAGAAATGGAATTATATCACTCATTATGCTTCATGAGTGGTTACGGGGCTGTAATCTTTTTCGTAGTCTTTCTTGAATTCATGTACTGCATGATAAAATTAATCAAAACATTTCCTTTCTGTTATTAGCGCATAAATATCGACCTTCTTAATCTTAAATATGCAGTTGCAGAATAAAATGTAAAAGGAGATTCCTTTTCTATTTCAAGTTAATTAAGGAGTAATCTTTTACGAGAGTTGAACGAGAGTTTGGATGTTATTCAAATTTAGTTTGATTAGATGGCGAACTAAATTTAACTAATATTAGGAATGGCTAGTTTTTTATTTGTTACTAAAGAAAATTCTTGTTATTAGTTTGATTAGATACTGCAATTGATGCCTTTAAAAAATTGTTATGACATCAATTTTCCATGGCACACAAAATCTACGATAAACCAAAGGAAACAAGACATTGTAAAAAACCCAAGATTTTACAAACTAGTAGTGGAATTATGATCATAAAACTAAGCATTCAAAGACTACGAGAGTGATGGAAGGTGACTAAAAGCTAATGCACGTAGCGAGAAACCATGAGACATTTTCAATCTCTAATCAAGGCTTAGCTATTAATAATACCCATGAGACATTTTGAGAAATTTAAGCTGTTCCAGTACATACTATCCTGAAAGAAGGAAAAAGAAATCACGAAAGCCTTTGAAATTTTGTTGTTATCCCGTTTAACTTCCAAATGTTAAACTTGATCAATTTTTATTAATCTTTACTCTTTGGGAGTTATTGCTAATTGGCCCTTGGATCCCACTATGATATTCACCAAGGTTAAGAAAGCATGCCTTGAATTGCAATGAATCTGCGAACTACTTAAGATGCATTAGGTGTTTAATTTAATTTTATTCTTGTGCTTATCATTTCCCAATGCTGCAGAGAAATTAAAAGTACTATAATAAGCAAAGCCAAGTTGACTCGCTGCTATGTATACAAAGGAGACTTACTGTCCTGTTAACTGATTATTATATGTATATATATACATATATATATATATATATATATATATATATATATATATGTATATATATATAAAGCATACCTGTTGTTACTGCTGTGCTCGAATGAAAAAATCTATAGCATTATTCTGAACCTAAATGAATTTCTTTTTGGACAATTTGCACCTTGATGTTCTAGATGCCCAACAATTTAGTCTTATTGATAAACTGGTTAAGTGGATGGAAAATGCTGATGCATCTTCAGTCTGAATTTACTCAATCCAAGAAACTAGCAAAGCATTGCTCAACAACATTATTTCGAAAACCAGTTTTTGCATCAACTTCTATTAGTTCTAATCTCAGGAAATCGACGAACGAAAATAATATGATTTTTAGCAACCCAATAATGATAATAACATAACAAATAAATCAAACAAAGAGAAACATAATTTTACGTGATTCGGTCAAATTGACCTACGTCCATGGATGAAGGGCAAGCAAATTTACTATAACAGAAAAAGAATACAAAACCTAGGAAATAATTCCTAAGGTCAAAAAATACCTAAAACTGAAAATACAAAAGAGGTTAAATAGCACTAAATGTTTAATGGTCCAAAGACCCATGACTTGCTCTTTTGGTTTGATGCCTAACCAAACTCCTCTCAAATATACTATAACTATTTGATGTAAAAGAGGTAAAAAAAAAAAAAAGTGATTAAGACTGTATTCACGGAAAATATAAAAATTGCTTTCCAAACAAAGCCGAATTTGAAGGTGACAAAGAACTTTTTCCTAGAAATGTTTCAATCATGTGTACTACTTATAGGTTTTTCGTTTTTGTTAAAAATTATGCACCTTTCAAAATTAGATGGAGACCTTTTGCTGGCATCCTGTTCAACTTCAAAATGTTAAAATTCATCATTTCGGATCATCCTGGAACCTTATATTTAGTTTTGACTGGTCCTCTGATCCTACTAAAATTCCCACCACGGCTAAGAGAAGATGCCGTTTTTTTTTTTTTAATTTCCTTTTTGTAAGTGGGAGGTCTTGAATTCAGGATTCCCTTTTTATAATTCCTTTCACCTTACCACTAAACCCAACACTTTTCCATAAAAGAAGATGCCGTGAATTGCAATGAATCTGGAAATCCCAACACCCGTTTCATTATGAGATTTTGCTAGCAAATTAATTTGCATTAAAAAATTTTCAAAACTTCCAAATCAACGTTAGGATAATTAAAATTATTTTGAAGAGTTGAACTTCATATATTTATAATATTCTAATCAACATGAAAGTTTATAAAAATTTTTGCACGAACATAATGTTTAATTTGTTAGTAAAGTGTTTAAAATCTTTCCAAATTTGAAAGGGAAAAAACACAAAATTTGAAGACTTTGGTGTGGTGGCTCCTATTCCCTACCTTTCTTTGCTTCTCGAAGTGCTAACTATTTCTTTAGATATGAATCTTGAACTATACCAGCAACCTTTTGCCAATGTGTTTGTAAAATAACATGGTTACCTAACTAGACAAATTCTCGGCATAGAAGTAGTATTTGTGAACACAAAGTTAATAGCTGCAAGTACCGTAAGACAACAACATAACATGAAAAACTGTACCAAGCCAAAAAAAAAAGAAAAAGAGAGGTTTACTTTAACATCATTTATCTAAAATTAGTAGCTATCTTTTGCCTTTAGTTTTGTCAACAAAAAACGAGAGGATCCCTACAGTTTTTCCTACTATTAGATTCAGAATTTGAATGTCATGCCTGATAGTTGGAGGTGGGAAGAGTGTAAATGAATGTTTTCCTAAACATGTTAGTCTAAACATATTTTTGCCTCTATTTGAGAAGAATAAATTGAAACAAGAGTGCTTTTTTTAGGAGGTATATAGAGACGATCTTTATTGCCCCAGAAAGAAAAAAAACAGTAAAATACTAGGAAATTGATGATTAGTCCAAACTAGTGGAAGATTTTACTTAAGTAAATTCACTAAGTCATAATTTCAACTGTTCTATTTGTATAATTTCGACATACATCTCTCATCTTTTGATTGCAAATTAACGAGTCATAGCGGTGGCTCGATAGTATTGATAGTGCTTATTTTCTTGTTTCTTGATTTCTGAACCTCTCCAGCATTATTCTTGCAAACGTGGGGTTGAGCCATCCTTAATTTTCTAGCGTTTCTTGCACAATTGAGTTGATTTTCTGTCTAAAGTCGTTGATCAATACAAAGTCATTGTTCAGAACAGTTGAGAGGCAATCAATTTTGTCTCTTGTATAATGACCAAGACTTATAATGTATTATGTGGTCAAATAATTAAGTTGCATTATTCCCAAGAATGCGCATCATCAAACTGTGCAGTTTTGTCTTGAAATAGGTTTTTAATGCAAAGGTGGTGTAAAAGAATAAACAAAAATTTAAGGGATTAAATAATGAATTTCCTATTTTTGCTTTCACCTTCGTACATTTGAAGCCCCTTAGATTAGCCATGGATCACTTCCCTCTCTTTCGGGCTGTGGCAACTCAAGGTCCTCAAATTACATCAATCATAAAATAGAAGGTCTAACTTTACTATTAGACTTTGACATGAGAAATCAATATTATATGAATGCAGAAGTAAAATATTTACTAAGCTTATGTAATACAGCTCGTATATTAAAAACTCAGAGAAAATTTATCTCAAACCTTCGGAAGAATTATAGCTTTTATGAAACTAAATTCTACTCTTTACATAAAGCAAATGGTGACATGGACATAGAGTCATAACTTTACTGTACAATTCCCTAGAAAAGCAGTCAAAGAAATTCTAATCAGCATGACAATTACATCACTGTCAAAAAATTACCAAACCTATATTACTGAGACTATATATGATGCGACTCCTCACCTATCAGGTAGCAAACATTAGCCATGGAGAAACTTCACAACCTCTCCCCTTTTGGATTTGTGTTGCTGTGTTTTCTTTCAGCTTCCTTAGCCATGCTTCCGACCAATATTACCACTGATCAGTCATCTCTTCTTGCCTTGAGATCTCACATCTCATTTGACCCTCACCAAATCTTGGCAAACAACTGGTCTGTCAGATCTTCTGTATGTGAATGGATTGGAGTGACCTGCGGCTTTCGGCATCTCAGAGTGACCGGCTTAAGTATTTCAAACATGAATCTTTCCGGCACCTTACCTCCACAATTGGGGAACCTATCATTTCTTGTTTCGCTTGACATGAGAAACAACAATTTCCACGGAGAGATGCCGCATGAAATTGCTCGTTTGCGCCGATTAAAAGTACTTAATTTGGGCATCAACAATCTCAAAGGAGAGTTACCCTGGTGGATTGGTTCATTTCCTAAACTTCGTCACTTGAATCTTGGAAACAATAGTTTCACTGGTCGTATCCCATCTTCCATCTCTAACTTGTCAAAGCTAGAGACTATATATCTTTCGTTCAACCCTCTGCAAGGAAACATTCCCATGGGGATTTTCAATATTTCCTCGCTGCAAATCATTCACCTTATGGATAATGGCCTATCCGGAGTTCTTCCAAGTGACATGTGTTACCGTCTTCCTAGACTGAGTATCCTTGACCTATCAATGAACAAGTTAAATGGTCAATTACCATCAAGTGCTTTAGCCCAGTGTTCAGAACTTCAGGTGCTGTCTTTGTCTCTCAATGAATTTGGAGGTGCCGTACCAAAAGAAATTGGAGAACTGAAGAAGCTTGAGGAGCTATACTTGGGTATCAACCATTTAGAAGGTAGGATCCTTGTTAATTCTTTTACCATACATGGACAAAGCCAAATTAAATGAATTGTTTTATGTTGTAGTGAATTTGTGCAGATCTAGATCCAGAAGTTGGTTTGTTCTAACAAAAATAGCACATATCTTGCACAATAT